CTATGGCAGGTCCTTAAAGAGATGGGAGTACCAGACCACCTCACATGTCTCTTGAGAAACCTGTATAAGGGCCAAGAAGCGACAGTTAGAACCGGATACGGAACAACTGATTGGTTCAGCATAGGAAAAGGAGTACAACAAGGATGTATATTGTCACCTTGCTTATTTAATATATATGCAGAGTACATCATGCGAAATGCTGGCCTGGATGAATCACAAGCGGGAATTAAGATTGCTGGGGAAAAGATCAACAACCTCAGATATGCAGACGATACCACTCTGATGGCAGAAAGTGAAGAGGACCTTAAGAGCCTCTTGCTCAGGGTAAAAGAGGAGAGCGCAAAAGTGGGCTTGAAGCTCAACATCAAAAAAACTAAGATCATGGCATCCGGCCCCATCACTCCTTGGCAAATAGAAGGGGAAGTCGTGGAAGTAGTGACAGACTTCACGTTCCTGGGATCCCAGATCACTGCAGACTGTGACAGCAGCCATGAAATTAAAAGATGCCTGCTCCTTGGGAGGAAAGCAATGGCGAACCTACACAGCATGATAAAAAGTAGAGACATTACGCTGCCAACAAAAGTCCGCATGGTCAAAGCAATGGTATTCACAGTAGTCATGTATGGCTGCGAGAGTTGGACTATAAGGAAGGCCGAGCGCCGAAGAATAGATTCTTTTGAACGTCTATGGTGCTGGAGAAGACTCTTGAGAGTCCCTTGGGCTGCAAGAAGATCAAATCAGTCAATCCTAAAAGAAATCAACCCTGACTGTTCCCTGGAAGGCCAGATAATGAAACTGAAGCTCAAATACTTTGGCCACCAAATGAGAAGGGAGCACTTACTGGAGAAGACCCTGATGCTGGGAAAGATTGAAGGTCAAAGAAGACGGGGATGGCAAAGGATGAGATGGTTAGACAGTGTCATAGATGCAACGAACATGAAATTGAGCAAACTTCAGAGGACGGCGGAAGACAGGAGGGCCTGGCGGGATCTGGTCCATGGGGTCGCGAAGAGTCGGACTCGACTGTGCGACTGAACAACAACAACTGTCAAAGCCTTTGATTCACCTGCAACTTTCCTGATTGCTAATAAAATCCATAAACGGACTACTCACGTCTGAGAGTTACTGCAGAGTCTTACAGCTAGGCTTATTCCCAAGAAGTCAGGAAAGTGCCAGCAACACCAACAGGGAGGGTGGAAAAATAACCTTTCTCCCCGGCTTGTCAGAGCAGCTCTGGAGCCATATCAGAAAATGGGACAGCTGAGTAGAAAAAAGAAAATGCATTTTCTTTAGCGCCCCCCCCCCCTTGTTTGCAAGTTCTCTGGCCAACTGCCTAAGGTTGCCAACTCCTGGGTGGGAAATAGCTGAAGATTTGGGAGGCAAAGCATAGGCATGTAGGGCTTTGGGGAGGAGTGGGACTTCCATGGGTATACTGCCATGGAGCCCAACCTGTCAAGTAGCCATTTTCTGTCACCTGGGGATCAGTTCTAATTCTGGGAGATCTGCAGGCCCCACTGGGAGGTTGGCAACCCTCCCTGAGCGACCCCTTCAAGCACTGCAACTCTTTCCTTCACTGCTTTGCAATTCCCTTGCACAAATCTCCCGTCCTGGCCTCACCAAAGAGCAGGCTGCAGCTTCAGATGCACCCTCCACGCAAAAAGCAACAGTTCCCGCCCCCCTCCATTCCTTGATGTGTGTGGGGAGGAGAGCTCTCCCTTTCTCACTCCCACTCCTCTCCCCCCCGTTTTCCCTGCCAGCTGCTTTTCTCCTTCCCAGGCAGGGACTTCACTCTTTCTCCTGTCTTGGACTCCGGGCTCTATCCCTTCCCTCTTTTTAAAAACTCCCAGAAGGGCCCTTTCTGCCTGCATTTGAGATCCTGTGCTTTCTCTCCACGGGGCAACAGAAATCCATACTTATTTAAAAACCCATGCCAATTGTGGCTGAGAATGATCCCAGCCTTCCTCCCTTCCAGGATTTAAAAATGTATCCCCCCAATGCCTTACTTCTAAGTAAACCTTCCTGGGATGCGGCTGAAAGGCTTTTCCCAGCTGCTGCAAATCTGAAGCCCTTCCTGTTCACTTTCCCAATTCAGAAGGCAACCCTTCCCCCCCACCACCACCACGCGTGCTCACACACACAGGAAAAGTCTTTCCTCTTTTCTGCTCCCCACTCCATGCTCGGCCTTTCTAGCAGACAGCTCCATGGGTTTAACCATTTCAGTGCTGCAGACAAAGGGAAAATGTTTCCTTCTGTTCCATGACGAGCTTCAGCCAGGCTGCTTTCAGCGATGCCCTATGCAGCTCAATGGGGCTACTTGGATGTGACTCCACCTACGCGAAGGTGAAAACGCATGTGCTGAGGGGTGAAAAGCTGTTCAATAGTGCACCCTAGTTTAGCTTAGAGGGAACTCTGCTTGAGAGACTTTTTCATTAGTTTACTTAGGAATAGTTTTGATCCACACATAGGCAGTTATATTCAAAGTGAATCTCACCCTTATCTTGTTGCAGTTAATTAGCTGATGGGTTTATGGATTGCTGTTGTCTAATTAGTACTTTGAATATAGCTGCTACAGTTGTTACCAGTCATCATATTAGTGGATATAGGATATAGACAATGTCGAATCTAGGGGTGTGCATTTGGTATTTACCGAGCCAAATAAATACCGGAAAAATACCTCAACAATATTTTCCTGGTATTTCCTAAGACAAATTGGATACTTCAATCTGTAATCAGCTACCGGTATAAAGAATCACGATAAGCCAATATTATTTGGCTTTTATTGGGCTTGGCACAGCAATACTGAATCGCAGCTTCTCCTGGCACACAGTTTAAACCACGGGGCAGGAGAAGCCCCCCAGCCAGGTCTGTGTGCAGTGGGGAGAGACCTCCCACTGCATGCAGATCCTGGAGCCAGCACAGGCCCGGCCCCCATGGTTTTTACGGGCTCCTCCCCCGATCCTCAGCTCCCCCTCCCCGGCCCCCTCACCCCGATCGATCGCCTGCCTGAGAGTGTCGGTCCAGCCCCAGCCCCTGTTCCCCTCCAAGCCGCTTGTGCTTTGCCTCTCCCCGATAATCACTTCTGTTTTTCTTTCCCGGGTCAGTTTTCTCCACTCCCCCACCCCTCGCTCCCGATTTTTCGTATTAGCCCGATTCCAAGGGCTGGAATCTCATCTTTCTGCAGAAGCAGGAGGCCACTAGATCTGTGTGTCTTGTACATTTAAAAGCAACTTAATTTCTTTCTGACTGCTGAGTCCCTGTTTGGGGGCCGGCGCTACCGGGTTTCCACATGACATGGCCGTTTGAATGCAGAGCTAGATAAGCTGGGCACCCTCTATCCATGCCTCGGCTCGGCATTAGGGAGGGAAGGAGGGATGGAGGGAGACGGGGGGGGGGGTGAATTTCAGTGCTGGAGGCGGCAGCAGCATGAGCATTTTTAATTTTTATTTGTTGTGTCAGTGCACATGTGTGGAGCTTTTGCCCCCCCCCCCCCACTAAAAATTTCCTACCTACCGGCCTGTGCCAGCATCTCTTGGCCAATGGTTTGAACAGCGGGGCATGAAAAGCCTAACACATTTAAAGAGATTGTCCCTTTAAATGCATTTTGCAAGCTGCAGTGCGAGTGAACATGTAAGCTTTGCTAATATCCAGTTATATAGGTCAAATCCTTTCACAAATGTTATGACAGTAATCCTTACAGCAGCCTTGTAAGGTAGACCAGTACCTAATGAAGTTTGTGGCCAAGAAACCTGAATCAGTGGCCTCTCCTAGATCAGAGTTCATTTGCCATCAATTCTTTCTCCCACATCCTTTCTGCACCCAGAGGTCCAAATTTACATGAAAAAATACAGCAGGCGAACTGGCAAATACTGATATGGCTTGCAGAAATCTTCCTGCAGCCATAGTGGCTGAAGAAACAGCCAATGTAACCAAGCAAAGTACAATGAGTCACATTATGTATATCCATGTGAACACATACCCAAATAAGGCTGGGAACGCTCAGAAAGAAAAGAACCTATCAATGGGCTCTTAAGTTTCTACTGTTACTTTGCTGTACTTCTTTCAAGCTCTTAAGTTTCTTTACTTAAGAGTTTCTGAACTTCTTTCAAGCTCTTACGTTTCTACTGTTACTTTGCTGTACTTCTTTCAAGCAACTTGCCTTGCATCCAAGCATCAAGAAGGTATTAAGAGGGAAAACCAAGCTGTGCTATCTTCCAATCACACTCTCAGCCTAACCTACCTCACAAGGCTGTTGTTGTGAGGATAAAATGGGAAGAAGGGAGACTGATGGTGTAAGCCTCTTTGGTCACCCACTGGAAAGAAAAGCAGAGTAAAAATATCTAGAGAACCCACAGTCAGCAATGACCAACACTGACTGCTTAAAGGGATGAACATTTTTGAAGTCCAATAACCTCTTCCTTTAACTGAACACACATATGAAGATGCCTTACACTGAGTCAGACAATTGATCTATCACAGTCACTTCTGCCTACACTGAGTAGCAGTGATTGTCCAGTGAATGTCCAGTGTCTCAGGCACTGAGAGTCAGTTTGGTGTAGTGGTTAAGTGTGCAGACTCTAATCTCGGAGAACCGGGTTTGATTCCCCACTCCTCCACTCACAGCTGCTGGATGACCTTGGGCAAGCCATAGTTCTGGCACAGCTGTTCTTGAAAAAGAGCAGTTTCTGTCAGAGCTCTCTCAGCCCCACCTACCTCACAGGGTGTCTGTTGTGAGGTAGGGAAGGGAAAGGAGTTTGTAAACCGCTCTGAGACTCCAAGTGAAGGGCGGGGTATAAATCCAATCTCTTCTTCTTCACTTTAATCCTGATTCTACCTGATTCTGCTAATGGGAGATGCCAGGGATTGAACCTGGGGCTTTCTGCATGCCAAGCAGATGCTCTGCCACTAACCCACAGCCCTACCCTCAGGGAAGTGGAAAGATTTTTTTACAGAGCAAAATGTGCAACTCTGATGGACCACAGGAAGTCTCACCTTGAACTTACCTACACAGTTGTCACAGACACTGCAATGGGAGGTCCTGGGAGGACGGAACATTTTGCACGTGTAGCAGTATTTCAACTTCACCATGTATTTGTTTATAACAACTTCCATAGTGCGGGCAGGCGGCCGATAAGTGGAGGTGCCCAGGTTGTCTGCAAAGGGAAAACCAAATATCCACACACTAGGTTTTTCTCTCAGTCAGGTCCCTTCTTGTTAAGCCCCTGGTTCAAAGGCAATAACCACAGCACAATGTATGTTACAAGCTGGCTCCCCCCCTGAGATGACTGCATGCCACCTGGACTGGAGATGTGAAGGTCTAGAAAAAAATGGGGCAGGGGAAAAATAGGGGAGACCTCCTATAAAACATTTTCTCTTAGGAATGGGGAAAATGCTTTTCAAGGTAAAGTTTCACTCACTCAACGCATGCAGCTTTTTATGTAAGCTGATCTAGCCCATTAAATGGGAATTATCACTATGTACACTGTAGACATATACAACATTTTTAAAGACATATTTACTCTTTAAATCTGAATAATTCTGAAAACAATTAACATGCTATGATGCATTTGATAATATCAGAGTTTTCGCTGTTTATAAAGTCTAATACCCAAATATGCTGATATATTGTGACTGCAGGACACTTTCTGTGGAAACAATACACTTCCTTTTGTTTACTACAAAATTTATTTTACATCTGCATCCCGAACCAAATAGGAAATCAGTGTAACTGCATCAGAATAAGCCAATGCACAACTCCTAACTCAAATGCACCTGGATAGCCAGATTCCATCCCATATTTATATTTTGTTCCTTACCCTTTCATCTCTTTCCTAAACTAGCGTCCTCATTTGTCCTTTAAGTGGGAGTCCTATCCCTTTTAATCTGTAACTGACAACTACATGCAGAAGATGCTGCTTTAGATTTTGATATAGAACAACAATAGCAATAAAGTTTATATATGCCAGAAAACTGTTCAGACCCTCTGCAAACTCCAGATGATGGATTTGCAAAACCAGTAAGTTAATAATAGTAGCACGTATCTGATAAAGGGAGCTTTGACTCTCAAAGGCTCATACACTGAACATTCTCTTGGTCTCTAAGATGCTACTGGACTCAAATCCAGCTCTTTAAGAATAGTAGATATATGGAACTTCAGCCACAAATTGGGGGTGGGGGCATGGGAAAGAGGCCACACACACTCTGAGAAGCAAGACCCACTGAATCCAATTGGAATGCGCACTCCACAAGTAAGCATGCCACGGATAGTAGCTTTTGACTGGTTTCTGAGATTCCTCAACAGCCAAAACTGAATCATGCTAATTTTCAAATAAACCAGATTTTAATTCCCATACATCTGCTTTACTGGACCCACAATTTTTAACTTGCCTCATTATTCACATTTCTAACAAAAGACATCCTAGACACTGATAGAAACCACAAGCACAAAAACAGATCCCCTCCCCAAGAACTTATCGTGCAACAACCTAGGAAGTCTGCCTGGAAAAGTTTCTATCGCACAAAAATGCCAGCCTGTTCATGTATACTAGCCTTAAAACCCAACTTTATAAAGTTTCTCTAGCTGATCACCTGAAAGCAGTTCTCAGTCATTATTAAGCAAACACTGAGCAGTTATTTCCAATCCAATGCTATATTGTAAAACGTGCTACTCTGGGCCACCTCTTGTCTGTGCTCAGAACAAGAGAGAGAACGCTTAACTAGCCCTACAAATGTCATCGAATCAGTACTTCAAACTCCTCCGGAGAAATGAAAAACCAACATTAGTTCTTTTATGAAACTTCTGTCTGTATCTTCACAGAATTAACAGTTAATACTTCCAACAGAGGAAGAATTCAAACTTTGTTACACCCCACATTATGGAACTGGAAAGATTAGGACAATATGTGAACCCACACACTTCAATTGCTTTTACAGGGCATTAATATTTCTTTTATCCCTTGACATTTCTGCAGCTGGTCACTACTCACTGAGCTTTAATTACAAGACTGAGAGAGTAACACATGCTTTACTTGCAAAAGTCACAAGAAAACACATCAGCTTTGTGGCAAAGTAGTGTTAGTGGAACTGATGTTATCTAGTTGAGTCATCTGGGAAACTGGTCAGGCTATCTATGACAGGTAAGTTTTAAAAAAGGAAGTTAATTACTAGCTACTGCGTTTCTTTGAAGAGAAAACACATTGAAGATTGATATTCACCACTTTTAAGATCCTCGTGTCCTAAAGTGCTGCTTCTCCCCAACACAGAAAAGTAGGCCAAAGGCTTTTCTATTATACTCCCTATGCCAAACGAGAATTACTATAACTTTACTTCAGCTACCCTTTCAGAATTTCACAGTGAGGAAGACACCTTGTGCCAAACAAAAGATCAGCACTCTCTGCCACAATGCTGCTGTAATCTGGACATCTTTCACCCTAACCCCTTCTGCTCTAGCATGCAGTGCTCAGGCTCTGAAACACACGAAACAGGATGAAAGGAAGCAGAAGCAACATCACAAAGGATAATGCTGATGCTCAGTACCAAAGCAGTTTCCACCAGAGGACTTACACTATCAGAGGCCTTGAAAGGACTAAAATCTGACGATCCTACTACTTTGCCACCCTTTATTTAAGAAATGAAGATACAAATGAGGATGTAAAACGTCACTGGATAACTATTGCATTTGACAAAAAACACATACATTGTCATAAGTAAAGATCATGAGGACCAGACACTCACCAATCCACTTCTCAAGGTCTGCAGCTTCACTGGGTGTGGCTCTGGGCAGGATACCAGGGTCCCTGAAGCTGGTCTGCAGTAAACAGCTGATGACAAAAAAGAATAGGATGCCAGCAATGATAGGAATGGCCATGGTCAAGTTACGAGCCAGGAAGGGGCAGCTGAAAAGAAAACAACATTTGTTAATAAGGTCTCCTGCACAAGTTCTTCATCCAGTGGCTACTTTCTTCTTGCTGCCACTTTGTGAAGGTTCTCTCCTTCTCATGTTCCATGGATCTTTAGAGAAAACATAATGAATTTTGGACAGCAGCAGCTATCCTATGCAGACATAGTCATTTGTAGCCCAACTTGTAGTCAATGGATTGGATCCTGTGGGGCTGCCATGGGGTATCTACTGGTAACGTAATCTCCTCCACCAGTGCAAGCTATCAGCAGAAGGAAGAAGAGGGAGCAATTTTTCCCAATTTCCCCTCCTCAGCACTGCCCCATACTGGACTGCATTTTATTCAAGAGCCTTTATAGAAGATTTTTAGGAGAAGCAACAAACTGCTGGGGAGGAAAGGAAGGGAGGAACAGTTCTGTACCACCAGCTCCTTTCAAAACTTCTCAACAGGATTCAATCCGCAGTATACTCCTTGCCCCTCCTGTGATATTACAATCTAATTTTATTTTACATTCTCTAAAGATTTCTGTGATCTACAAGCTGGAGATAAAGTTCACATCTCCCCTCAAGAGCCTCTGTTCACCTTCATTTAAGTCCCTCTCAGTACAACCAACTGTTACATCCCACAATACAATTTGTGATGGTACCTGGGTCACACAGCAGATGAGTTAATATTTTTTTGCCTGTCACTCATGTGATTGCCAGAATCATAATGAATTTATTAGCAGTATATGCACTCCCTTTCTAACATAAATAATGCTGTACATTCTTTATCTGATTTTTACCAAGGATAACATTGTAAAGTAAGCCTTGATTCTGTTCTACAAAGAGTGGGAGATAAGATTATTTATTATGTTTAGTAAATTTTATACGCTGCCTCTTGAGAGACTGACTCAAGGCAGCTCACAAACGGAAACAATGCTATAAAGTCAACAGCATAAAAATAAGTAATCAAAACCAAGCTGGGATATAAAAACAGCATAAAACAACACTGAGCTGCCTAAAGCAATACTCACTAGTCAGTCCTGGGACTAGAAGCAGACCACAAAAACAACTTTAAAAACTATGGAATCCTACAGCTAAAACTATTGGTAAGACGAATTTTTCGAACAGGTCTCTAAAGGAAAGTAAAACAGGTGCTAGGTGAACTTTCAAGGAGGACGGCACCCCAAAGGTGCAACCAATGAAAAAGATCCATCTCTGCTTGCAACCCACCTCACCTCTGCAGAGGGGAGCACAGCTTGAGAAAAGTTATCTAAACTGGTATGCTGGACACTACAGGAGAAAGTGGTTCTTCAAGCATCCTTTCCTTCCCTGCCACACCTCCCTTGCCAGTGACAATATAGCTGCGGTGAAATCTTATCTATTGGTCTGTACTGCAATAGTTCACAATTACTGGGCACGGGGAAATAAAATTAATATATTGATTAGAGAAAGTGTATTTATTTATTTATTTGATTTCTACCCTGCCCTTCCAGCAGAGTTTAACTTCACACAGCACTTCCACTCGCTGCTGAAACTGTGCAACTCAAGGGTAAAATCTTCAGCAATCCAGTCACCCACCCCTCCCCCAAACAACCACTCAAAGCTAACAGTCTCTAAAGTATACAAGAGAATCACACAAAATAAGGAAGCAAAACCAAAATTAGAAGATTTTTTAAAGAACAGGCGCTCCCCATCAAGACCAGTGTTAGCTACTATATTTAAATCCTCCCGACTTAAAGTTCAGTATCGTATGTTCCAGTGACAGCCACATTTAGGATAGAGGGAAAATTAACTGTGGAGAGCCTGTTGCTGGATCTTGAGAGCTGTCGGGGTAACCATGGAATTATTTCTGAAAGGAGAAGGGGGCGAGTAGCTGATCTGAGTTGAGAAGTGGGAGTGAGCTTTGCGTCGTGATGGAAATTAATACTATTTCTGTCCTGTTCCGAGGAGAGAGAACATGCTCAAAAAGGTTGGGTTTATTCAGTAGAAAGCTACTAGGCTATGGAAGAGACGGGGAATAAGTGAATGGTCATGCAGCTTGCAGCAAAAGTGCCAAAAAGATTGTAAATTGACCATAAAAAATGGCCTCAGGCACTCTTGTCCCTTTAAACAACAGTTTAACCTACAGAACTCACCAAATGAAAGCTTTTCACAGCATGGAATTAAATGTTATATGCTGCCAGTATAATCATATTATTACAGGAAAACAACTACAGAAGATGTTGTTGTTGTTGTTCAGTCGCACAGTCAAGTCCGACTCTTTGTGACCAGATCACACCAGGCCCTCCTGTCTTCCGCTGTCCTCTGAAGTTTGCTCAATTTCATGTTTGTTGCATCTATGACACTGTCTAACCATCTCATCCTTTGCCATCCCCGTCTTCTTTGACCTTCAATCTTTCCCAGCATCAGGGTCTTCTCCAGTAAGTGCTCCCTTCTCATTTGGTAGCCAAAGTATTTGAGCTTCAGTTTCAGTATCTGGCCTTCCAGGGAACAGTCAGGGTTGATTTCTTTTAGGATTGACTGATTTGATCTTCTTGCAGTCCAAGGGACTCTCAAGAGTCTTCTCCAGCACCATCGTTCAAAAGAACCTATTCTTCGGCGCTCGGCCTTCCGTATAGTCCAACTCTCGCAGCCATACATGACTACTGGGAATACCATTTGCTTTGACCATGCGGACTTTTGTTGGCAGGGTGATGTCTCTACTTTTTATCATGCTGTTTAGGTTCGCCATCACTTTCCTCCCAAGGAGCAGGCGTCTTTTAATTTCATGGCTGCTGTCACTGTCTGCAGTGATCTGGGATCCCAGGAACGTGAGGATGACTGAACACTTAAGCAAACCAAGGCACTGGGGGAAATTCAGATCAGACCTCCTCCCTCCTGAAATGTTTATGGAGGACACTAGCAGCTCAAGTGTTAACCATATCTACTTGAAAGTAAACCCTACTGGTTTTAATGAAATATACTTCCAAACAGCTGTGCGCGGTCTTGTTCATACAGAGGTGCTCATGGCTGTTTTGTTTATTATATCCTGCCTTTCTCTTTTTCTCTTTTAACTCAAACTAATTTGAGATGACCCCTAAACTAAAATATGGTTCAAATCCATATAATTTATACATACAAATCAAGGTTACTGAGGTTACTACTCTTGAAACCCAGTATATTGACTAAAGAGGAAGAGAAAATTCTGTAACTCCAGGCCACATTACAGATTCCACTTCTCCTTCAGTGGGGGAGAAGTCATCCAGGAAGTGGTTAGGTCACGCCCCTGTTCGCTTGGATAGGCTATGCAAATTTCTCTTGTTGCGTGGCTCCTATTGGAGGGACCTAGGCTGACCTCTCCAGTTCCTGCATAGCCCTCCACTCGGTAGGTCATCTGGAGCTCCAGCTCCAAGCCAGGAAGCTTACAAAAAAAAAGAGAGAGAGAAAAGATCACCTAGGAACCTTCCCTTGCAACCAACTAAGGAAGACAAGAGCACCGAGAAGCAGACAAAGACCCAGCCTAGAAAATGCCCCATGAGACCACGGGGACAAAGAAGAAGAAAAGGCCATCTCCCCCGTCTGAGGCTTAGGATGGAGGAGCAAAGGCTAGAACAGCGGAGGCCTCCCCAGAGCAGCAACCCCTTACCCCTGAGGCATCGGGGGCTGGGGAGAAGGAGGCCCAGCAGTTGAGACCCGCACCATCAGAGCAGGCAGAAGCAGAAGGTAGCAGCAGCGTGGGGCGGGTAGAGTGCGCGGAGCAGGCAGGCTCCCGCTCCCCACGTCAGTCAACAGCCACAGACGACAGTGTGGCAGCCGGGGGTGCCGTCGGACGGGTTGAGCAGTCGGAGCCAGTTGGCTTCTGCTCCCACCTGCGCCCGAAGAAGGCGGCCAAAAAATCGACCAGCGGAGCAGCTGGGAAACGAAAGCGCGGCGTGGGAAGTACAATGGGCCGGCAAGCCCACGTGGTGAGCCCATTCCGGCAGCGGGGGGAGGCCCGGTTGGAAATAGCCCTGTAGGAGGCACGCCGGCACCAAACCAGGGACAAGGACAAGGCTCTTGGGGAGGGATGGGGGCAGCAGGGGGATGGGGGCAGGCAGGCCCCCTACCACAGGGCTTCCAGCAACCACAATTTCCCCACCAGCTGCAGCCCCACTTTGCATAGCGCTGGGCCCCTTCATGCCCCCACAATTCCAGCCAGGCCTGACCTGGATTTGGCCCACCATGGGAGGGTCTTCAAAGGCCCCACAATGGCCGCAGGGCACTGGGAGAATAGAGGTGGGGTGGCAGCCCCAGTACAACCCCCAACAAGTCAGAATAGCCAGGAGCCAAGGGGAAGGCCATCCTCCAGGGGCTCCAGAAGAAAGAGACCCCATCCTGTCTCTGACTCGCAGTCTTCTTCAGGCTCCAGGTCCCCAGTCACCGCAAAGAGGCCTAAGGTCCCAGAGGTGTCAATACAGAGCGAAATCTCAGGAGCCTCTGAGGGCGAGGAGGGGAATTCTGGAGTCAGCGTGTCCAAGGGAGTAAGGCAGCCAGGGCCTAGTGAAATCCCCAGAGGAGTGCGCGCCCCTTCCTTTAGCTCGGAGCAGGTTGAAATTGCATCCACCATCACTTCCTTGGGTGGAAATACAGAGAAGGAAGAAGGAGAATGGTCGGGGGATGAGGCAGAGATCCAGCCCACCTCATCCAGACTATTCCAGATTGAACATTTCCAAAGGCTGTTGAACAAAGTCATTTCCACGCTGAATTATCAGATGGAAGTGGCACAAAAGCCTAGATCTTCAGTCTCTGGCAAAGCTGGACACCAGACGCTTTAAGAAGCCAGTCAAGGTGCAGGCTTTTTCACCTTTTCCTGATTTCTTTGACAACATCTTTGATGACATCGTCAAAGCAGAGTGGGCTGTTCCTGAGGGTGGGGGATCTCCCTTTTGTCTATCGCAAAACATTTGTACTCCTTGCCAGAAGAACCCATGGGGGACCTAAAGGTTCCTTTGATCGACGCCCCTGTGGTGGCACTGCATTCAGAGGCAGTGCTCC